ATTTCTATCTTCTAGCTGTGCTGAAAATTCTATCAGTAGGGACCTTAACGTAAATTTAGGACCAAACCTGCAGTCATCCTGATAACAGTTCTATACATCCACCTGTGCTGACTGTCCTTATAGCTTTAAACTCAAATATTCCATCTGGATTCTTTGAATCTGTGACTCCAATCCTAAATCTATATGCTTAGCCTCCCCTCAGGAGAGCTGCTGCTATCACTCTGATGTCAGCCTGCCTGGATGGAAGTGGAATAAATCCAGTCTTTCCCATAGCCTTGGTCACTGGGTGTTTCTTCACACTATCTTTTTCTAACACAGTCTATAAGCACCCAAACCTCTTCACAGCCTGGAGTTTATAAACTGTAATCCCAGGGAAAAGTTAGTGTAATTCTCATGAGTAAATTCCAATCTACCACTTCCAATACAATCCACATTGAGAGAAAAGAGACAGAGACATATCTGCAATTGTGGGGAGCCAAGGGGCTCTCAGCCCAGTCTAAACAAAGGCTAACTGAAACAAAAACCATGACCCAGGGCCAAACCCGGGTTTTACTAATTCATGAAAAGGGACACAACTTGAGATTGAGTGACTGTGGGACTGGTGGGAACTACATGAATTCAGTGAGCTGGGCTAGGTAGGAGGAACATGGCATCTCTGCACTTTGCAGAGAGAGGTATGTGGAAAGAATACTGAATTCTGGTAACATGTAGCCTCTAAGTTTGGAGGAATCTTTGCATTGCTTATAGCCAACTGAGGCAACTGAGCATCTTCCTAGCCAGCTCTGTGCTTATCACCGCATGAGAGTAGGACAAGGGTGAACCAAAATGAAGGCAAATTGTCTTTAAGGGAACCATTTCAAGGGTCCTCCACAACAGCCAGTTTCAGAAGCCAGCCCATTTTACAACTAAAGAAAATGGAGATATAATCAGGTGAAAGAAAGGAGAGGGTGCTATGAATTGACTACAGCTAGCTCAGAGTTTGGTAAACACAGAGAAGGCTCTGAGGTGGCTTCTTCATACTGTCCTGTGCTAGTTCCCACTTGGACAGCTTCAAAGACCACCTCCACCCATGTACATGCTACACAGAAAGCAGTGCTTTCAGGAGCTCAGTGACCAGCTGCTCTGCCCTTGCCAGTTCCTAGGCATGTGGTCTTGAAAAGGTAACTTCATCTTGAATCTCGGTTTCCTCATCTGTAATGCAGAGACAATAAAGCTTGCTTTGCAAGGGAAACCACCAATATGTTTAGCATATGTAGATACTATTACCTATCAACATCCAACAACCAGCCAGGATTTGAGGTTTTAATATGAAATAGGCATTATGCAAAGTGCTTAGCTTCCACACTTTCATTTACTCCTCTGAATAAAACAAGGAGGTAAATAGCACCGAATGGGATTAGCATCCTACAGAGAAAATCAAGTCAGGAAATGTCATGTTGCATAGCTAGTAAATTGTAGAGACTGACTTTAGGCAAAGCTGGGAAACAACCCACTGTAGGGGTGGCAGGAAAGCCTGAAATACCCTTTGTCAGTTTCTAAGGTGTAAATAGCCCCAATAATGCAGGAAAAATATAACCCCCAACTTGCTAGATGTCAGACATGCAGAGACTGTATCCCTTGAAATCAAGAATGAATTGCAAAGGATAAATGAAGTTAAAAGTAGAAAAAGTTTATTGAGAGATAGCTCCTGAGACAGGAGAGGTTCCAGATGGATTGCCACCGAGATCCTTGGTCAGGGGTAATTTATACACTAAAGTCACAATGTGGGTAAACAGCGATAAAACTATAATCAACAATAGAATTACAATTTATAGCCATTTAGTTGATACTGATCTAACAGGGAAGCCGGATACATGCCAAGGGTACATATTTGACGTCATTAACCATGTCTTACCTATGACTTCTAAAATAGGAATATTTTGGGGAAATTACACAGACTGGGTGACTGGACAGCAGAAATTTCTCAAAGTTCTGAAAGTTCAAGATCAAAGTCCTGGTGATCAGGACTCCTGCAAGTTGAAGATGGTCATGGAGATCTGCCCTCAGATAGTGACAAACAGAGAAAGAGCAGGCCCTGGAATCTGCTTTCACAGGAGCACTAATCCGACTCATGACCTAATGTCCTGCCAAGGACTCCATTTCCTAGTGCCATCATACTGAGTTAGGATTTCAACATGTGAATTTAAGAATGAGAGCACAGCCAGGTATGGTGGTGCACCCCTGTAATCTCAGCACCCAGGAGGCTGAGGCAGAAAAATCAAAAGTACCAGCCCAGCCTGGACACGTTACTAAGTGTCTTATTAAAAGGCTCTGTCTCAAAATTAAACAATTTTTTAAAGGGTTGGGGTTGTAGCTCAGTGTGAAGGCACTGAATTCAATCCCCAGTACTGAGAAATAAACACACACATACACAAAAATCAATTCATAATACCTTTACGTACATAGAAGGGTTTGCATAATAAGCCTTTCGTGTTAGAAAATACTTATAATTGGTTCAGAAAATAGATCTAGATTCTGTGGCTATATTGCTCCAAAGCAACAAAAATTCTTTAAAGAAATGTTTTACCTGTGCATTTTAAATTCAGCAATATCCCTTGATTGCATTTGAAGAAATATGAAAGGAAAAGAAATGACAAATTCTTCAACCAGGGAAGAAGAATCATCACTCCCAAGAGGCTTCTTACTCATCAGCTCCCACTACACAGCTTGATTAATGCCAACCTGTTAACCTGTTTATCACCCTTTAAAAGCTATAAGCAGGCCAAGTGTGGTGCTGCACACCTGTTACCCTAGCACGAGGGAGAATGAGAGAGGAGGCTAGTTGTGAGTTCAAGACTAGCCTGAGCTACAGAGAGAGTTCAAGTCCAGCCTGGACTATATAGAGAGGTCCTGTCTCAAGAAACTAAAAAAAGAAAGAAAGAAAAGAGCTATAAACAGGTATTGACTTCTCCATTCCACACTCTGGCATAACAGTTTGGAAAAAGGTAAAATTATTTCAGCATTAAGCCTACCAAATACTAAAAGTGACTTACAAGACAGTCATGTGGAAACTGAATTTTTCTGAAAGCTTTAGGATAGAAAGACTTGGAAAAGAAAACAGGAAGAAAGACAAAAAGAAAGAAGAAATCTGCCATGGACGTCAGGCTGGCTCTGGAATGGAGAGAGGAGGGCTGGAAAAGAGGCCTTTGAGGTTCCTGCTCATTGGATGGCTCGAGGACAGGACGCTTCCTCACTCTCACCAGTGTTTGCTGCTCCAGTGACACTGAGATCCCTGAGAAGTCAACACTAATAGTCTAAGTGAAACAGTTACACATCGTATCTCTTCTGAACACACTTTCAAGCTGGGTGTGGTGGCACACATCTGTAAGCCCAGCACTAGGAAGATAGAGACAAAAGAATCATTATGAGTACAAGATCAGCCTGGGCTACAAAGTGAGCTCAAAGCCAGCCTGAACTGCATAGCAGACCCCATCTCAAATACAAAAGAAAAAGAAAGAAAGAAAGAAAGAAAGAAAGAAAGAAAGAAAGAAAGAAAGAAAAAAAAAAACACTTTAAAAAACCTCAAAAATGATTTACAACTGCTGCCAGTACAACTAACATCTTGTTCCTATTTCTACCTTTCCGTGTGGTTGCATCTTAATGTTTTCCTACTTGGAAAGGTACCAGAGATTCTCTTGAAATGCCCTGCCAGACTTTACTTGATTAATTCTTTTTCTCTCATTGCTCAGAGATCCGGAGAAATCTGGCAGGGCCGGCTAACCACTCACCAGTGCTGTGACCTAGATTGGATCTGTCCATTTAATAAACAGGGAGAGTTTTGGCCTCAGGCTGTCAATACATCTAAGACTGCATGCAGCGGGCCCACAGTTTGTTTATGAGGGATGTTTTTGCCTGGAGTAAAACAGGCATCAGCTGTTGATTTTTTTCTGAGTTTGTACAACTGGGTACACTTTTTAGACTTTTTTCAGAAACACTTGTAAAGTGTTATTTCTGTCTCTTAAAATACTCAGGAAAATCTGTAAATTTCTCCATTGATAAACTAGTGCCTTCAACTCCTTCTGATAATTAACTGGAAGTAAAAGACATTGCCCTCAGCACTTAACAAGAGACACCACTCAATACATCATTTTTGGTTCATGATTTATCTCCAAGTCTTCATATTGGCACAACTGCAGTAATAACTAATTTTTATTTAGTGAACATTTATCATATACCATACTCAGGGCTATATACTTCCAATTTGGTAACTCGCTGAAGCCCAATAAGCATACTATGAGGTAGATAAAATGATAATCCTATTTTATAGATAGCCAGTAACATATATCTATTAACTAGAACAGTTAAAACTCAAACTGATCTTATTCTAAATTGATTTAACAACGATAAAACTGTTTAGGAGTGTGTGAAACTGCAGACTCTGTATCATTTTAACCACTGGGATCTCATTCATTCTATTCTTCAATGCGCTAGAGTAAATAGTATTATGCTCTATATTCCAAAGGTGAAGAAATTGAAGCTCCAGTAGATGGATTGATTAGCACTAATTAGCACTAATTAGTGCTAATTGGGGTTGCCAGAATGTGGATTTGGGTAGAGGAGTGTGAGGGGCAGGATATGCAGTTAAATTTACATTTTACATGTTTAATATTTGGTATAGTAAATATTATTTAGTATCTAAATAACTGAAAATATATTTATACTGAAAATATCTGGTATGCATTTGAAATTGAATGAGTAGTCTGAGACTGTTAAGTACCAAACAAACTTTTCATTTACATATGTTCCAACGATTATTCATTGTCTGAAATTCAGATTTAACTGAATTTCATCTTACCTTAGAACTACATCCTTGGTGTGGGACTGCATAATAGCTTTCCTCTCCTAAACCCAAGATTCTTTCTACCATACCTGAATGACAGGCTGTCTTAGTTACTTTATGCTCCTCGCTGAGACAAAATATCTGAAGCCCAAAGTTGGGAAAGGAAAGGTTTATTTCTTACAGTTTTTGGAGGTTTCAGTCCACACTCAGTTGGCTCCAAGACAGGCGGGCATGGCTGGACCGCAGTTGATGCCGTCCGCCCACAGCGAACTCGAACCAGCAAAGAGAAAGACACACCTTCCTCCTGCCATTACATCACATCCTGGCTCCACCCCTATATGGGTGGAGCACTGACACCATCAATCCAAGCACTATACAATGAACCATCACATTTGAACAATACAAACTCATGAGGCCTGGGGGACACAAACTTAAACCATGACACAGGCCTAACAATGGACTGTTACAGAAAACCTCTCCTCTAGTCAGTTATTCAAATAGCTATGAAGTATAGTATTTTCTCTATAGCTAAATTAGCCTTAGAGCACATCTGCCGAATGTCTGCTAGAAAAGTATAAGGGCAACTAAGTAGAAAAGATATAAAAGGTTACCCAGCTCTGGGGCCTCCATTCCTTGGAGTGGCTTTGGACTACTTTCTTCTGCAAATTACTTTACCTTCACTCTGCACCACTTCAGAATCCTATTCCTTTTTCTACAAGTGGTCCAGACAGAGGAAAGTTGGGGGGCACTGAAGACCACCTGTCACAGCCCTCCAGCTCCACTCACTTTAGCTCAGGTATCGCCCTAAGGCCATCCCGCCCTACTCACTTAGCCCACGCTCAGCACCTCCCTAGGAGCATTCTATGTCAGACGGCATTCGGCTGTCTTTTTCTTGCTCACTTTTAAGCCCACAAAGGATGGAGCTGTCAGAGCCCCTAAAAGAAAAGGAGCTTGCATCAAGGCTGAGGACAAGGATGATGAAGACTATGTACCCACTGAGCCATTCCAACAATGCTGGCAAATCCCGCCCCAGAAGCTGCTGCAGCAAAGATACAAGGAAGAGAGGGAGATGGCAGCGAACCCCAGGGAGGTGAGAGTTATACCCAGCAGGGGCTTCTGACCAGTGTCAGCCTCCTGGATCAGCACCAGCACCTCGAAGAGCAGGCTGCAGCCTCTGAGAAGTCTGGAAATCAATTAAAAGGAAAATCAATTAAAAGAAGAGAAAATTCTGAAGCACATGATGGAGGGCAGAGCTTTGATGTCAATGAGGGAGATGGCCAAGGACATCACATATGATGACAAATCAAAACAAGTTGGACACTGCCCTGTTATGTCCTCAGTGTGTCTGGGGACTGGCACAAGCATGTGAAGAAGTACCACATCTTAGTGGAAGGAGATGCTATCCCACCACTCATCAAGAGCTTCAGAGAAATAAAGTGTTCTGTGGTGATCCTGTAAGACTTAAAGAGAAAAAGTATCTTCCACAACACATGTCCAATCCAGAGCATCCCTACCATCCTGTCTAGCCAGGACAGCATGGGCATTGCCTTCCCAGAATCAAGCAAGGCTTTGTTCGCATTGTCCATCCTCATGTTCTTCCTGGAACAAGATAAATGTTGCCTTTCTCTAAGCAGGAATGGGCCCTGTGGATTCATCATTTGCTGCTCCCAACACCTGGCCAGGCAGTCCCATGGCATCCTGGACTATTATTGCCACATGCTGCAAAAGGACAGTTCACCCCTCCTGAACTGTGCTCGCTGCATTGGGGACATCGCCCTCAAGGTGCAGGTGGAGACCCTCTGACACACTGCACACATGATGGTGGCATTTCATAGATTCAGTATACCAGAATATGGTCAACCTAGACATCTATCACTACCTGGCCCTGAATGAGACTAACTGTATGATTGACATGAGCTTTGAGGGTACATCTGTACCATCTTGTCCAACTGTAAGGTCTAGCAACAGACTCTGTTCTTCGGTGCCACTATGCCAAAAAGGATTCAGAACTTTTGCGAGGAGTGCCTTGGTAAAGCCTGTCACTATCAACGTGGAGTATACTGGGTCTCCCAGACTGGAGGTGGAATACCTGGGGGAGGAGGCTAAAATGACGCACCTGCTAGAGTGCCTTCAGAAGACAGCTCCACCTGTGCTCATCTTGGTAGAGAAGAGGGTAGCCATAAATCCACCCATAAGTACCTGCTGCTAGAAGAGGCTGAGACCAAGGGCACTGAAGTATTTCAGGAGGTCAAGAAAAATATCTTAATGGCTACAAGTAACCTGCAAAGGCCTAGATTTCCCTGCCACCCAGTACATCATCAATCATGACACATCAGAGGAAACTGAGAATTACACACACCAGATTAGCCATACTGGATGCTCAGGAAGTGTTGGCACTGCCACCACCTTCATCAATAAGGCCTGCAACAAGTCTATCCTGACAAATCTCAAGGCCTTACTTTTAGAGGCAAAATAGAAGGTTCTATTTGTGCTGCAATCTGCACTGAGGGAATGAGTCCATGCTGAATGCTGGAGGAAAGTGTGGCCCTGCCTTCTGTAGGGGCCTTGGCCACTGGATCACTGACTCTCCCAAACTCCAGGCCGGCCATGCAGGCCAAGAGGTCAGCAGCATCAGCTGCAAGGACTACCTGGCCCACGACTCTATGGACTTCAGAGTCATATGTTTTCCCTCCTTCTAGTAGTAAGATATATAATGCAAAATTAGTAGATTCTTTGGGTTTATCATCTTCATAAAATTTTGAATTGCAGTATAAATAAATCAGTTAATGGGTTATGTGTTGTCTTAGTTCTACACAGAGAGATACCTCAGTTCAAGAACTTAATTCATTCTATGTTTCTGGAAAAGATGGTCATGCTCATGTTCATAAGGGAAAGAAAGCCGCATGGTGTTCTGTAAGGAGTGGCTGAAGCTGGAAAGGAATCACATGTGTGGGCTGAGCAAGGCTAGTCCCAAGAACAGAGAGCACCCGAGGTGAGCCACATGAACAAGCTGCTCCAGCTCTGAGAACAGAGGCGCCCTGAGGCTGTCCAGCAAACTGGTTGCCAGGCAGAGAGGTGTCACGTGGCATCAACCTGACGAATGCATAAATAAATGCCCTGCTATGGTTGAACAGTGCCTTTCCTCTCATCCAAAGAAAGGACTCCCCTGACCCCAGCTTTCTGTATTCTGACTTTTTTCTTTATTTCTCCATCCTTCCTCCCAGGAACTTAGCAACACTGGATGATGTGTAGTACCCGATACAGAATTCACAAACAAAAACAAAATTTTGCCAAACACTTCTGTTTGCAAATGAAATTGTTCACAAACAAAAGTGCTCATTAACCAACATAACACTATACTTGCTAATAAGCAAGGAGTTATTTGAAAGTCAATTATACATATTGTTTTATGTAGTATAATACATGTATAATATTTGTTACATTGGCAATGTGGCAATGCATTCATGCATGTGTACATAAGGTAAAGTAAAGAATAGCATGATTAAGTTGCAAAATAGTGTAATACGTGAATTCAGTATTGGTAAGGAAACAATTAATTACACCTCTGGGTGCAGTTGGTGGAGCTGTGAGTTTTTTGCTTGATTTTGGTGTCCTAGGGAGATAAATTTCCCATTTTCAGCTTGTAAGACCACAATAACACACTACAAAGACTCCTTACTTTAATAGTTTATTTTCTCAGAGCCTTATTAATGGTATAAAGATTTGAATAATAGAAAAATATAAGCTCAGTGCTCATTGACCAATAATAGTAAGTGAATATTCTGCTGGATGGCCTCCAATCCATGTCAGCACAAGCAAATTTGGTACTAGAATTCAAATATGCATTGAGACTCAAAGGACCAAATGTGATGCTTCATTGTTTTGATGCATGAAGAATAGGAGTGACAGCTAATGTTAGGATGGAAAATACTGATGCTTGTATCCTTTCAAGTTTGTGGGGGGTAGAAAGTAGGATTGCATATGCAAATATGAAATATTCTGGTTTAATATACAGAAGCGTTAAGTGGGCATGAGATAAGTAATTTTCTGCATCTCCTATAACTCTGGAGAGAATAAAACTAAAATTAGTAATGTTAAGAATTAATAGAACACCTAAGATATCTCTAAGTGTGTAGTGTGGAAAAAATTGAGTTTTATCTGAGTTGATGCCTGAGGTATCATTAGATCCAGCTTCAATAAGGAATAAATGAATTATTAGTAAAGCTGTGATAATAAATGGTAAAATGAGAAGCAAAAAATCATGTCAAAGTTGCTTTACCAACTGAAAATCTACCTGCAATTCATTCTACTAAGTTACTTGAGTAGTTGAAAGTAGGTTCATGAAATTATAGTGCCTCTAAAGGTTATCTGTCCTCACAGTAAGTTGTATCCTATGAAAGTTCTGGCTACTACTGTAAAGGGTAAAATTACTCAAAAGCTTCAGGTTCTCACAGCATGTAACTCATCCAGTGTACCAGTATAAGTAAATTAAAAAATTGATACTGCATTTGAATGTAAACACTAAATAATTAACCTGTAATTAATGCCTTTGCAAATAAGCATGACTAATAAAAATGCTGTTGTCTGCAGTATGATGTATTCCTAGAAATAATCCAGTCATAATCTTTAATATGAAGCAAATCCCTAATAAGGTGCCAAAATTGCACCAGAGAGCTGGGGATTTAGCTCAGTGGCGTAAGCACCTGCCTAACAAGGGTGAGATCATGAGTTCAATCCCCGGCACTGCAAAAAAAACTGCACCAGAATGAAATATTGGATTGCACTGGAGGGTCATTATGCAAATGGTTAATGACTTTGAAAAAATGGTGGGATTTAGGGATGTTTGCCATTAATTCCTGTAGTTGAATTACCATGATTTTTCATGTCATTAGTAAAGATTAGATTCTACATAATCAAAGAACAATATTAAACTACAGTCAGAATTCCTGCAGGGGCTGGTGGCACACACCTATAATCCCAGGACTCAGGAGGCTGAAGCAGGAGGATTGCCCCTAGTTCAAGGCCAGTTTAGACTACACAGTGAGTTCGGATTTAGCCTGGATTACGTAATTAAATCCTGTCTCAAAAACAAAAAGCAAACAAACAAATAAATCAGATTTCCTAAGTATTTTGTTAGTTTTCTGCAACATTCATTTATTTATTGAAGGTTGCCTTGTTAGTGGTGGGGTTGGGTGTGTTGCTGATTATAGCTGCTGATTCATTTATAGGTTTAATGGCATTTTTAGTCTATTTAAATAGTATATTAGTTAGTAGTTCT